CTTGTTTCATTGCCATACAGCTCAGCCTGCTGCAAAGTGTTTGCCATTTTGCCACCGCCCTGCTCATGATAAGACACCTGTTCACTATAAAAGTATGCATTTTTTTTGCTGTAAAGGGTAAAAGTACCCTTTTGCTTTACTGCTACTTGTCCTAAGTGTAGATATTTGTTGATCACTTATGTACAGTCTTATGTTGGCATTCTGACCTGTTGGTGCCCAAACGAGAGCAACTAATTTCTTGTTTCAGTACACAAAGGTTTAATACAATAATTACTGCAAGTTAGGAAAGACGGTGTTTTTTTGAATGGGTTTTCATGTTACTGCTTGTGATTCTCAAAGGAGTTGTGTAGATGTTTTTTTGTATTGTTCAACTTTGCAGCTGCAGTGACAGGCTACCAGCAGCCTCCAGAGTCGCAAGCCCACTCGGCATCTCAGTTCTACATCTCCCTTATCGATTCTGCGAACAAGGAGCAGAGGCTGGAGGACAAAGGTGAAGTTGTCCCCTGAACGTGGTCTCTGTCCGCTTTCCAGAATGAGGGAAGAGCAGGGCGACTAACCTGAGGATGCTGTCCTGTCCTGCAGGAGATGCGGTGCTGGAGATTGCAGAGGACTGTTCCCTGGTCCTGGTGTGGAAGAACAATGAGCGACAGAAGGAGTATGTCCTGATCAAGTCCAAGGAGCTAGAGTTTGTGGAGGACCCAGGCTCGGCTAGTGAGGCAGCCAGGGCCGGGCATTTCACCCTGGAGCAGTGCCTCAACCTCTTCACGAAACCGGAGGTGCTGGCGCCCGAAGAGGCCTGGTATGACACCCATTTCTTTGTGGTACAGTAGATGAATACACAAACAGACAGCGTGCTTTTTTGTTACTGTTATACCAAAATAGTGCTGTAGTATCTCTTTTATGGTAACAGTGTGGTTGAATTTTCTGAATGAAGACATGCATTTTTGATTTTTGAGATTGTTCTTTAAGCAGGAACAAAAAGAGGTGGCTTGTTAAACCATTAAACAATTGTTCATTGTAGAACCTCTTAACAAATGCATATTTCTATAGTTAATTCCATGCTTAAAAGTAGAGGAAAGAAGGTAACATTTTGGCTGTCCGCTGTTCTTCAGGTGTGTAGGCTAAATGTTACGTTCTTTCTTTCTACTTTTCAGTGTGGAGTTGAACTATTATTGTTACTTTGTAATTCTCGCAGTGACTAAAGCTCTCCTCCTCAGAATTGTTTTGTGACTGGAACTGGGAACTTGTAGGAGTCTTCTTTAATGATCATATCTTCTGTGTAGTTATACTGCATAGTTGTAATTGGTTCCATTTGGAAGGGACCTAGGGCAGCATAGTGGCAGCACAGTTAGCTCTGCTGCCTGCAATATTTTCGGTCCTGGATTTGATTCTGCACTGGGGCACCTTCCGAATGGGGTTTGCTTGTTCTTCCAGGGTCTGTATGAATTTACTTTGTGTCCTGCAGTGTCTTACCACCTTTCAAAACATGCAGGCAAGGTTAATTGGTAGTTCTGTGTTGTCCGTGTGTGTGTGTACAGGGTCTTGTCAGGCCTTGCTGTGTTGTTGTGACCTTCACCAGGAACAAGCAGCTTCCTGATAACGCACGGATGGAGGGAGTTTGAAGATGCTTTACAAATTGTTAGACAAGACTGATATCATTATGCATCATCACCTGGTATTTAACTGGATGTGCTTTACCGGACTTGCCCCTGGCTCTCTCTCCCCCCCAGGTATTGTCCCAAATGCAAGCAGCACAGAGAGGCGTCCAAGCAGCTGATGCTGTGGCGCCTACCGAACGTGCTCATCATCCAGCTCAAGCG